AAAAATTCTTTTCTTTTTTGTGTACATAAAAGTGCTGATTTTCGTAAATACGGACGTCCATACACGACCTTTTCAAAAAATAAAAGCGATAACTACAGTAAATTTAAAGTCAAAGTACCTAAAATACAATAAAACCTAAGATTACGAAGAATACTTTCCTATTTTTAAGATTATTGGGTAGTATAAAATATATATCATAAAACACGCTCATGTTTTATTCCTCAGGTAATTTTTACAGATATGACCATCGTAGATAAAATTAGATAAACATGTCAACACTTTATTTGTTGTGGTTACTCATATTTGTGTAGACGCTCCTTTTTTATATTAAACGGTATATTTATTTATTTATTTATCAGCCCCTAAACCCGTGTTGAAAATCAGCTAATATTCCTCAAATAAGGTTTCAGAGAGGTATATTTTATTTTTGAATTAATTGTTCTGATAGATGGCTAAAAACTCTGCTAAAATAATCGATTTTTGGCAATTAAAACAAATCCTGCCAGTAAGTTCAATTAGTTTTTAAATACTAAAGTATTTTACTTATTGGAAATATTAAATTTAATCAACTAGTTTGAAATTAAAACTAAAATAAAAGCTTCTAGAAAGATTTTTCATTTTAAAAAATACATTTAAATCTTAAGTTTTCGCAAATGTATGGAGCTACCTATAGTAATATACTCACAATAATAGCAAACAAATCGACAACGCCTAACTAAATATGTACAATTAGAAGAATTTATCACGTTTATAGGCAAGCAGATTTTTGCAAAAAATAAAACCGAACAACAGTAAGCAACTGATTAAGAACATTGAAGACATATCTTGCAACCGATTTTAAGTTCTGCGTGTAAGTTTAGTTACATGCCATGCGCTTAGGCGATCATGTAACTTTTGATACATGACTGACGAGGCAGATTTTTTTCCCGCAGTAGGTTGCCATTTCTTTCTGCGGTAGACCAGTTGCCATCCAAGGCTATAGAATCCGGTATGTCCTGTTATTTACCCATAGCTGGTGGGCGGTGTGGGGGAGAAGAAGAGGATTCATGCCTTTCCCAAGGGTATTAGCACGTAAGTGAATGTAATGGATTCGACTGGAATTCGAACTCGGCCCTCCGATTCCGCAATCCGAGCCGTTGATTATGTAGCGTATATAAATATGATATCTGTTAATGAATTCAATAGATTTATTTGACCAAGACAAGGAGTGTATATGCAAATCGGCAACAAGATAAACATATAGTTCAGTGGTTTGTCAAACCGTGCGCCTTGGCACACTGGTACACTCTGGAAGATGTCTAGGTGCGCCCTGGCATTCCAGAGAAATATGTGTCCAGATATAAGAAATAAATATATTTACTTTTTTATATTGTGGTACCCGTCTCGTTGCGGATAGACCTCGAGGAAAGCTTCAATGATAGGAAGCTTTTGTTTTGCTGTATTGAACTGGTCGGAGTTGCTGGTCGATCTTCCATGCCTAGTTCGTGAAAGTTGATTACTAAAAAATGTATTATGTAACATAAAATGATGGCAAGCATTAGGATTGTTTATTTAAGTCGTTTTATTTATACTTTCATAGTAATTTATCATTTATAATGTATCATTTATTTGTTTATAAGCAAATGTGATAAATTAGTTACTTTATCATATCTATTGATCGTGGGTTGATAATTAAACATAATGAATTGTTTCTTGAAGCCTTTTGGATTTCTATAAATGAAGAATGTGTCAATATCTAAAAAAAGGTTCTGATCATTTTACTACATTTTGCAAATATCCTATTTATGTAGGTTTTCTGCTCTCACCGAAATTAAGTGCAAAAAGAGAGGAAGCCTTCAATGTATTGACAAGGAAATGAGAGTTTGCTTATCAAATATACGCCCAAACATTGAAGAAATCGTTAAGACTCATCAGGTTCATGTTGCTTATAAACACAAGAATGAATAAACTTAATATATTTTATATTTTAATATGTATATTTTATTTTATATTACCTTATTTTTTTTCTGCAAAATTTGACTTCATTATAACATATTTTTCCGAAATTTGTATATAGTGCACCTCCAAATATTAGTAAGATTTCAAGTGCGCCCTGACTTCAAAAAGTTTGAGAAACATCGATCTAAAGGATTAAATTGCCTAGAGACATTTTTAATCATTGATCTGAGAAAATGGTTGGATATGGCTGACAGTTTATGACATTTCTAAACAAGTTGGACACCAATGAATGATACTTATGTTAGTTTCAGTCAGTTTGTTAAATACTTTTGCCTTCATATATATATAAATTTTATTTTAATCAATTCATCCCTAGCAAGGTGAATGCTACTATGATGCAAGGGGCTACTTGGAGTGAAAGAGAATGAAAAAGATTTCAGAATGAACCAGAAACCCAGTCCAAAACAAGAGACAAAGAATAAACCTTTATTCCTGTTCAAAAGACCGGCGAGGAGTGCATTTGAGGCTGCAACTACATTGTTTTTCTGACTTTTTTCTTTTTTTCCTTTTTTTTTTTTTTTTGAGGATGCACTAAAAGCACATTTTTGATCTGAATCATTGATGGATCTGCGGGTGCAGTAAATGGATAGGGGTTCGGAATGAGAAATCGAGGGGCTGAGTTTAGATTCCAGTTGGGTTTGTTACACATGCAACTACTCTTGGGAAGAGTATGAATCCATCTCTTACCCCACCAGCTATGGGTTAAATAGTAGGACTTGTATCTAGAAAAAATCATTTTTGTTTCAGCTCCATCTACATTAACTCAGACATTTTATTTTTCTTTCTTTCTTTATTGCTTTTATTTTATTTTATTTTCTTTTATTTTTCTTTCATCCTTTATTTCCGTTATTTTTCTTTCTTTCTTTATTCCCTTTATTTTTCTTTCTTTCTTTATTCCTTTTATTTTTCTTTCTTTCTTTATTTCTTTTATTTTTCTTTCTTTTCTTTATTCCTTTTATTTTTCTTTCTTTCTTTATTCCGTTTATTTTTCTTTCTTTCTTTATTCCTTTTATTTTTCTTTCTTTCTTTATTTCTTTTATTTTTCTTTCTTTCTTTTTTATTTTTCTTTCTTTCTTTATTCCCTTTATTTTTCTTTCTTTCTTTATTCCCTTTATTTTTCTTTCTTTCTTTATTCCTTTTACTTTTTTATTTCTTTATTTCCTTTCCTTTGTTAATTATCCAGTTTATTCATTTATATCTAAAGAATTAATGAATTTATTTATAATCCGACATTTTTATTACTACAAACGTTATTTTTAGTGCATACTTCGGTCCGAGCGCTTTCGACTATTCCGTTATTCGTTATGATGGATGCTAATTTGTTTGACTGAATATGTAGATTTCCGTTTTATACATATATAGGGATATGTATGTTTTAATTTCCGAAGACAATAAAAAAAAAAATCCTACATATTTAGCTAAACAAAAAACATCCTTGATTATGGTTAATAGATTAGCCGAAACCGCACGGGTCCGTAGATGATTTTAAACAGATTTTACACCTTCTATGTCCAGAAAAGAAATCACTACGAATGCGAGAATATGTAATCCAAAGCTTGATCCTAATGCCTTGTCAGTCGGCTTCAATGAAAAAATTATATATATATATATATATATATATATATATATATATATATATATATATATATATATTAGTAATCCGTTGGCATAATCCAAGTGAGTTCTATTAACACAATATTGAATTTGAAATATTAAATATTAAATATTAAATCTAACTCACAAAAGAGCGCTCAATGTTTATTGTCATTAAACGGATCAAAATTTTTCTTACAATTGGAATTAAGATACCATTAGTTAATGACGATTTTCACCTACAATTTTCAATTTAAAATTCGCAGGATTTTTCAAACTGTTTATGGCATCAGTTTGTAAACGGTTTGAAAAATCCTGCAATTTGAATTTAAATTTAACATTCGTAGGTGAAAATGGTCATTAACTAATGTTATCTTAATTCAATTAAATATATATATATATATATATATATATATATATATATATATATATATATATATATATATACCGTAATTTCCATGTATAATACGCATTTTCTAAAAATAATAAGCAAAATCAGGGGTGCGTATTATGCACAGCTACAAAAATATTCAAAATTGCCGTAAAATAAATCATAAAACTTAATTTGAATAATATGATTCTATGTTTAAAATCATTTTTAAATAAGAGTAGGAAACGCTGGCTGTAACGAAATTGAAAAGCTACAATCTATAGGGTTTCGTTACCAAACAAGTTTTTTCCCACATTTTCAGCACAGTTTACGTGTGCGTATTATTTGATAAAGACATTTTACATGGGATTACGTATATATATATATATATATATATATATATATATATATATATATATATATATATATATATATATAGGTAACTATACTCGTTTCGAAAAACCCTCGAATTTTTGATTTGTCAATAATCAAATCAATCTCGAGGAAAAAAGGTTTTAAAAAAAAAAAGAACTAGAAACATGAAAGTCTGTCGAAAAAATCCTTAGAATACAGGTTTGAAGCCAAAGAAAAAAACCCGATACGACTAACCAACTAACTAACAAAAGAGCTCAATACAACCATAGAGCAGACCTAGATAAACCTAGTGAGCCAGACAAGCCTACCCAGGTTTCACCTAAGCGGATCGTCAGGGAGCCAGCTTTCCTGACGATCCGCTTAGGTGAAACCTGGTTAGGTTTATCTGGCTCACTAGGTTTATCTACCTATCTATCTATCTATCTATCTATATATATATATATATATATATATATATATATACTCGACTCTCCCGTCAAGGGTCAAGCAGATCAGTTCTAGAAACCGACACCAGCACATGAGATTTGATTATAGTGGTGAAGGTTTCATGCAGGACCATCCACACTTTTTGAAGGTCCGAATACAGAGACCTGGTGCACTACGTGCCACAAGGTCCCCAAACGACCCTCCTTTGAATTCAGAGTTGTCCTTCTCCTAGACCAGTTGTCATCCAAGGCTATAGAAGCCAGTCTGTCCTGCTGGGGTGAGAAGAAGAAGATTCACACCTTTCCCAATGGTATTAGCACATAAGTGAATGTAATGGATTCGACTGGAATTCGAACTCGGCTCTCAGATTCCTCAATCCAAGCTATCCATTACTTCTTCCTATCTATCTCCTATATATATATATATATATATATATATATATATATATATATATATATATATATATATATATATATATATATATATATATATATATATATATATATATATTGTATACAAAATAATAATTGAAATTCATTATAGGCCTGTTAATGTTTCTCATTCGTATATCAAAGCACAATATCTTCTGTGAAAATTCAGGGATTTGATATTTTATTGGGCTATGGTCCAGCGACTTGCTCTGTAAATTAGAAAAAAAAAACACTATTCTGTGTTGTTCGGAAAATGTCACCAATGATAGTTTCCTATTACAAAATCTATACAAATATAACATCGGTAATAAGGATACTTCATTTACTCGAAGCTTAAAGCCGTTTCAGAATCTACATAATTGAAATGCTCAACGAAACTTGTTTGGGGACGGTTGTGGAAAATTCATAGCCAGGTGTTGCATTTTCAAATGCGACAAATGTCACATAATTTTCCCGGTAAAAATACGTAGTCCACAAAAGCCTCACAATAAAACGACTTGATTTCAAATGAACGCATTGAGGTTTGAAAACAATGTTGTTATTCTTAATTAAAGTTACGGGTAAAGTAACACACTCTTGAAACCTGTCCAGTTGCCAGTCATCTTTGCTATACGGGGTCACGGGTATAGTTTTTTTTTTAACCATATCACACAATGCTAGTCAGTGAAGCCACTGGTTCTACAGAAGGATACCGAGAATACCATATAAGTAGCAACGAGGAAATCTTAATGAGAATGAAAACAAAAAGGCCACCCAGATTCAGTAAGAGTAAGCTAGAATTTCTTGCACGCATAATGAGGAAGGAGGGCTTGGAGAATTTAACACCATTTAGGTGATATTATTATTAAGTAAAAACTATATTTACTAATCATAAATGGAAAAGTGTAGTACAATTTAACTACATGGGGTTACTGATTGTTGTATGTGATGGAGCATTGTCCTGCATAAAATATTTTTACTGAAAGCTTTTGGCTTCTTCTTGAACTATGTCTCTACGTGTGCTTTCATAAAATCAACGTATTTTCTGAACAATCATCTTAGCATCATCTGGAACACATCCTCAATACACATCTCACACAAAATCACATCATCTTAACATTCTTGACGTATTAACCTGTTATGACGGTTTCCAACAGTCGTTGCCCACATTTTGCTCCATCCACTCGGCCTATCGAAAGTGGATTGACATTTGAGTTTGTTTTTTTTAATCGTTAAAATAATCGATGTATTTTATTCCTAATTTCATTTAATTTTCATTATAAATATCTTTTAATCGTCATTGACCAGACATATGAGCGAATAAGAGGTTTAAAGAAAAACAGGAACTAAAGTGACGCATATACTTAAGAGGCAGGTATAAATTCATGGAGCATATAATGAGAAAAGAAGGCTTTGCAAATTTAACAAGCACGTGGAAACAGCGAGTAATCTACTTGTTTTTGTGCGGGTGGATGGTAGAAAAAGGGATGGTAAAAGTTAAAAATCCACTTAGAACAACAAAAGCAGGACATTATGCAGAGGCATACTGTATATTTCCGCGTATAAGACGAGGTCAAAAAAAAGAGCAAATTTTCATGAATTTATCCTATATCTGTAGTATAAGACGACTGCTTACTGATTATATAAAGATGATGTTATTGGAAATCTTACTTCCTCAGAAATTCAAAATAAACGAAATAACAAAACCGATTCTATATCATGTTTTTTTCTACACACTTCACCTAAAATGGAAACCATTTTGTTTACGTTTCATCACGTGATCTCTTGAGAATACTGATTCTTGTTCTTCCTCTTTATTTAATGCAACAACCGTAAAAGGATTTTTATTTGAAAAATAAAGGTTATATGTCATCCTAAATTGTGTTATTATTTAACACTAAAATTATAATGGGCTTTTATTGAAAAATGAATATTATGTTATATCCTTAATATTATTAAACACTATCATGATGATTATTATGTTTAGCGAATGATAAAGATTGCTGTGAACGCAATCATAACTCGGTATTTACATTTTCTCAGCTGAGCTTGCATGGATAAGAGCTGATTTCATTGATATGTAATTATTCTTCGAATAGGCAATTTATTATGAAGTTATGCCAGTAAGATATGAGATAGAAATGGTTTAATTTATTATCAGTTTATTTGATAATGTAAATCTTTTCATGTACCTAAATTGATTATTACACCGAGGCCGAGGTTAGCCTAACGACAAACATCAGTCAGAATTTAAGGTTTCTTTTTTTAGAATTGTAGCATAAGACGACCCCCAATTTTTAAGGGTGATTCTTGGGATTTAAACGTCGTCACATACGCAGAAATATACGCTAATCGTCCACATCCCGAAGGGATCTCTTCTATTTGCTATGTCCCTACACGAGGAAGGCGTTCAATGCTTTCTTCCCATCCGGTGTAGCTCTTATTTTGCCTTTTTGCCATCTCCCCTACGCCGTTGGGTTTTGCTGCTTACCTTGTCCCCTTTGCCTTCAATGTCCTGTGAGTATCAAATTCCCTAATACTCCTTTCATCATTATGCGAGCCAGATATTTCAGCTGATTCTTACTGAGTGTGCGTGGCGTTTTTTTTTATTCTCATTAAGAGACCCTCGTTGCTTACGCGCTACGCCATTGGTATGCTCAGTAGCCTTCTGTAGAACCGGATTTCTGTTGTCAGCAGTTTCACTTAATTTGTGAGGAGATTGTCCGGCATTCATTATCATATTGGATGATTCATATTAAAGGGCAGTTCAGCACTATCTTCTTTGCTTCCCGCCATATTTTCATTTTCACTAGTACTTTGCTTAACTTGTGGAATAGAAATGGTTCATATATATATATATATATGTGTGTGTGTGTGTGTGTGTGTGTTTGTGTTTTGAACAATAAAATATTAAAAATTTAAAATTTTCGGACACATTGGGTTTATATTAATATTTTTGGTTTTATTATTTCAATTAGTTTCAACCAGCATAGCCATCATC